AAAAAATATATACTTTGTAAGTATTCAAGAAAAATAGTAATTTTAATTAGTAGCTTAATATATTAGTTTTCTTCAATTTCATTATGATCTTCCCCTTGATAAAATTGAGAGTTGTCTTCACTGAATAGCATTTTAATATTATACTCTTAGCTATACAGACCATAGGAATTTTTCTACAGCATGTAAAATTGAAATATTCATTGCTTCATTCCATCTCCAATATAAACTTCCACAAATTTTAAAAATAATTTAGCAATAAAAGCTGTTTAACCTAAGAAACTTGGTATAATTCCTCCTTTCTGATAAGAACTGTTATATAAGTGAATTTCTCTTTTTATCCTGGCAACCAGGAGGCTCAAAGCCAAATTTTAAGCTTAGTCAGACACTAATTTTTACCAGTATAGTAACATATTTGTCCAAATTTTCTTATTTTTTCCTTGACCCTAATGTTCTCTTAATATGCTTTTGTATCTTGCTATTTCATTATATATGTCTTACAAATTGCCTCAAATCATTTAAGGACAGAGGGAGGATTCAAATAAGCAGGACTCATTATGTATCCAGAGTTCTATAGAGGCGGTGATTATTTTTTTAAATGAATGATGCTCACAAACATTAAGTATGCTCATTATTCATTCGAGGCAATACTATTCAAAATTCTTGGGCAATAAAAATCCTGGAAGAAAGCACAGGCAGTAATTTCTCTGACATCGGCCATAGCCACATTTTTCTAGATAGGTCTCCTGAGTCAAGGGAAACAAAAGCAAAAATGACCTATTGGGACTTCAAGATAAAAAGCTTCTGCACAATGAAGGAAACAATCAACAAAACTAAAAACAACCCATTGAATGAGAGAAGATACTTGCAAAGGACATATCCAATAAAGGGTTAGTATCCAAAATATATAAAGAATTTATAAAATTCAACACCCAAAACACAAATAATTCAATTGAAAAATGAGCAGAATAGACATTTCTCCAAAGAAGACATCCAGATGGCCAACACACACATGAAAAGATGCTCAACATCATTCATCATCAGGGAAATGCAAATTAAAACCACAATGAGGTATCACCTCACACCTGTCAGAATGGCTAAAATGAAAAACACAAGAAACAACAAAGTATTGACAAGGAAGTGGAGAAAAAGGATCTCTCATGAACTGCTGGTGGGAATGCAAACTGGTGCAGCCACTCTGGAAAACAGTATGGAGTTCCTGAAAAAATTAAAAATTTAAGAAAAAGTTAAAAATAGAACTCCCCTATGATCCAGCAACTCCACTACTGGATATTTACCCAAAGATTATGAAAACACTAATTTGAAAAGATGTATGACTCCTGTGTTTATTGTAGCATTATTTACAATAGTCAAATTATGGAAGCAGCCCAAGTGTCCATCGACTGATGAATGGTTATAGGAGATAAGGTGTATATATACAATGGAATATTACTCACCCATAAAAAAAATGAAATCTTGCCATTTGCAATGACATGGATGGAACTAGAGTGCATTATCCTAAGTAAAATTAGTCAGAAAAAGACAAATACCATATGATTTCACTCGTATGTGAAATTTAAGAAACAAAACAAAAAAAAATGAAATAAACAATTATGGGGCAGGGAGACAAACCAAGAAACATACTCTTAACTATAGAGAACTAACTGATGGTTACCAAAGGGGAGAAGGGTGGGTGAAATAGGTGATGGGGATTAAGGAAGGCCCTTCTCGTGGTAAGCACTGGGTGATGTATGGAAGTATTAAGTCACTATATTGTACACCTGTAGCTAATATAACACTGTTGAGTAAATTGGATTTAAATTTTTTAATTTTAAATAAATTTGTTTAAAATTCTTGGGTAAACCAGGCCACATTTGCTGGGAAAAAAAAATTATAAAATAACACAAGAAAGTACATGGTGCCTCCTTACCTGAAGTTAAGAGTAGTCAAATCAAAATTCAAATGCAAATTTACCTTGAAGAAATTAGAATCTCCTCCCAAACTCTGAGGTTTCACTGCAGATACTTGACTGCTACTTAATCTTGGTGGTACAAACAATTTAAAAGGCTTTTGCTTTTCCATTTTCTCTCTTCCAGTTGTAATTATCTATTGCCCCAGAAGGCAGGGGGATAAAAATGTTTTTACATTGTTTCATTAATACACTCTTTATGCTTTATTTTAAAAGGCGATGTCTGTATAACAAATGCTATGTAAAGGAGCAGGAGTAACCTTTGCTACACTGTTGAGTCTGCAGCGTCACATCACTGGGCGGTCAAAGTAAAAACACCCCGCAGTTGTTCCCACCACCTACCACCACCAATGGCCACGCTGGCGACCTAGACAAGCCAGAAACCCCGAGGTATCATCACTGTGACAGCCCGAAAAGAAAGCTCTACCTCCACCAGCCCTGGTAAATTGCGAGAACTACTGTAAGTTCTTAGAGGGCTACCCGCTACCGAGGAGGTGCTGGGGGGTGGGGGGGTAGAGTGAGGCCGCTGGCCAAGTGCTGCAGGTGCGGAGTCAAATCAAATCATCGCCCAGCTCCGGGTTCCGTCGTCAAGAAAGGAACTCAGTACACCTGCACTTACCTTTCAAGATTCAGAGGGAAACCATGGACTCGGTGCCCACGCGAACTGCTACCTGCTGTCTATTAGGACAGCAAAAAGAATCAATTAGAGCTTCTGCCTCCGAACCTCAGAAAAGGCGGGAATCGCTCCCCTCAGCGGCCAGCCAGGAAGGGCGGGGTGCACGACTGTTTAACGGCTAAACAACGGTCAGCCGCGAGAGTTTGCCCGGCTCCCGATTCTCGCGAGATTTTCCTTTGCGTTGGTAACAATTCTTCGCGGGATTCTGTTTCTCCTCAGCGTAGACGTTCTTTAAGCTTCTGCTATTGTCAGAGAATGCAAGGAAAACTAGCAAGTGCTGTGATAGATTGGAGCGGAGAGTGAAAAATCCATTTCTGTCGTCCAAGAGTTCAGTCTTAGGGAAGAAACAGATGGGCAGATAATTATAGCCAGGTGTAATCATTTATAGGTGGTAATTTTGAAAGGGTGGTTAGGACACAGGGAAAGCGGCGCTTGCCATGGCCTGGGGAGTCAGGAGAGGCTACACAGAGGTGTTAGGCTTCTCTTACGGCTTCCCTCGAGAATGAGAGAGTGGGCTACATAGTCAATGGGGAAAGAGAATTCCTGACTGAGGGAAGGTAGGCGAAGGCCCTGTGGCTGTGAGCGAGATTGATACAAGAGAGAGTGAGTCCAAGTAGTGTGGCGTAGGTGTATTGAGGACAGGTGGGAAAACAGCAAGAGATGAGACTGCAGATCGGCAGATATGAGGCCTTCCAAAGGCTTTTGGATTTTAGCCTTTATGGATGGGGATCTTGAAGAGTTCTGAGTAGAAAGGGAAGCAAGATCAAGTTCAGAAGAAAATCCGTCGTTATGAAAAATGGCTTAGGCGGGCATATCGGACTGGAGTTGGGAGACAGTTTTAATAGGCTGGGTAAGATGTGAGGAGCTGAGCCGTGACAGTGGCAATGAAGATGAAGAGGGATCAAACGTAAAAGATATTTAGGAAGTAAAATTAATAGGATTTGATGGCTTTTTTTTTTTAATAGTAAGCCGTGAATGAAGTCTCACTCCTTGGCTTCAAGCTGGGGCGAGAAAATACAATAAATATTGTGGTACTAAGTACCTAGGTTCGAGCAATAAGATAACGAGTTCCATTTTGAACACATTTGACTTTGTTTTCAAACTTCTCCAGGTACTATAATTGATTTCCAAAGGACTTAAGTAATATTTTTAAATAACCAATTTTGTATAAATTTAACCTATGAGACATCATAGTTTCTGCTAAAATTTAAAAATTTTTGATCCAGGTTAAGTCCTTCATTTTACATTTTAAGAAAACAGTCTAGATACCCTAAAAAAGACAAAATATTCCCCCCAAGAGATGATTCCAGGTTTATGCCCAAGATGTGCCATGGGGGCAATAATTAATAAATTTAAATAAGATCTTCTTGAAGTTGAAGATATAAATTCGATATTCCAGTTTCTTTAAGTTTTATAACTAAAAAAAGTTCAACTATGGTCTTCTTTCTTGAAAACCAAAATGCTACTTCTCCTAGTATTAAATTAAAACTTAAATTCACAGTATTTTATTTACTTACACCCAGTCTTTCAAAACAATAGTGCCACCACAGAATTTCTCAATTTCATGCATTTCACATGAAATTTATTCTTACTAAATAACCTTCCTATCCTTACAAGGATTAAAATATTTGTGGAAAGATTTCAGTTTTTAAGAACTTCATTTTTTTACAAAAGGCATATTGACAAAAATGTCAAAATATTGTCTACCAGAATAAGCAGTAAATTGTGCTAAATTTCCCATTGTATGTTAAAACATTTTAATGATTTGTCATTTTAAGTTTTTTCAATATCTTGCCATCACAGATTTTTAAAATGTGGACTTAAAAAGATTTCTTTTTTAAAAACATTAAGAAAAGGTAAGAGTTGAACAAAGTTTTGTTCCTCTTTAATAATTCATAAAATGCTATAACAGGAATAAATTTAAAATGTTCTTTATCCATCAATCTGGCCTAATTAATGAGGTTCACAAACTACCTTTATTCTGATTACAATTGTTTCCACTAGATAGGCTTTCTCATGTCTATAATCTATATATTTTCATTCCATTTTTCTACTAAAGGAAAAAAGTAGAGTTTCTTCAGATAACTCTATTTAGCATTATTCCCTTTTGAAGGAACCATGCAGTAACAATAGTCATTGCTTCTTTTGAGGCAAATCTTGAAAAGAATCCTAGATGTCCCTCTAGTGGTTCATCCTATATTCCACAAAATTTGATGAGCACTGATGATGTCCATTTTATGGTGATATATTGGTAACCTAGCAATCCTGTTTGTTTTTCAAATCAGTCATCCTATGATGATAGAGTCAACAATCTAGAATTAGAAAGTTTTAAGGCAAACCACAACAACATTCTAAGTTTCAACAATGTGAGTACAAATTCCATTTCTCTGAGAGTAAACTAGCCAATTTGGGGTCCTTGGTTTTCCAAGTGCTAAGTATTTCTGAGTAGTTGTGATTCAGTGTTCTCAGTTCAGTGAGCCTCCCTATGAGACGAGCAAAATGCTGTGGGTCTTCTGGATGATAAATTTTTGAATATTTGTACAAAATTTGTAAAATCGGTTCTTGTATATTTTCCACATGTTGCTTATTTTTAAGGTATGGACGATCTGAAAAACATCATCATATATATCTTAATGAATACTGGAAAGTAGTAGAAGATAATGAATTAATTTAAAACAATACAGTTTGTAGATAATAAAAATAGCAAATATTTTCCGAACCCTTAATATATGCAAGATATTATGCTAAGTAAATTACTTCATGCAATATCTTATTTAATCTTCATAGTACTCTATGAGGTAGAGAAGTAAAGTCAAACAGGAAGAGAAGGGTGAGTAAGTGGTTGTAAGAATATAAGAGCAAGTTTCAAGCTTACTTAAAACTTAAAAAGATTAATTTCCTCAAGATCAACAGTAAGGAAAAGGCAAGTTTCTTAAGTACCTAGTTATAAAATACAAGAACCAACCAAGAATTTCTTAATGGTTAGGCAGCAATGATTTATCCAGGCATTGTGGTGGAGATACAGCAGCGAACATAACAGACCCAGTTTCCTGCCCTCTTTAAGCTTATATCCTGAGTTTGGGAGGAGTGGTGAGAAAAAAGATATATACACATTTTAAATAAAAATATAATATGACAATGATAAGTATTATAGAGAAAAACAGAGAAAGGAATAAGAATTTAGGGTGGAAGGGCAGAAGCTATTTTTTAAAAGGATAATCAGAGGTAAGATGACATTTAACAGAGATCTGAGATGAAGGAGGGAGGCATGTAACTACCTGGAGAAAGAGCTTTCCAAGCATATTTGTCAAATACAACACTACCTGTGGAAGGAGCCAGCTTGACATTTTCAAGTAATGTATGTATCAAAAGTAATGTGGCTGTGGTGGTGTGAGCAAAAGGACAGTAGTAGGCAATAATAGAAAGAATTTGGCTTTAATCTGTGTAGAACAGGAAACCATGAAGGAGTTATGAGCAGAGAAATGAAATGATCTAGCTTACATTTCAAAAGAATAACTCTGGCTAATATGTAGAGAATAGACTCTAGGGAGGCAAGGGCAGAAACAGGAAAGCAAAAAAGGATACCAGTTTGAATTAGGGTGGCAGGGACAGAGACAGTAAGAAGTGGTTGTGGAAAGAGCCAAGATATCCATCAACAGATGAATGGATAAAGAAGATGTGGTATATATACACAATGGAATATTACGCAGCCATCAACAGGAATGAGATCTTGCCATTTGCAACGACGTGGATGGAACTGGAGGGTGTTATGCTGAGTGAAATAAGTCAATCAGAGAAAGACATGTATCATA